AAATATGGTGAGGGGTCCTTACCTTATTCGAAGTCGAAAATTGAATTTTTTTACTGCACCTATGGGCAGTCCCTGGGTTCCTTGAATTTTCTCTCGGGAACTGAAACGTGCTTACGGTACCTACACATATCCCAAATAACTCAAAAATAAGATTCAAGGCCTATTCGACAAATTTCAAAATTCCGGCATGGCGGCTCTGTCGTGCTCCAGCTTCGGCACCGCTGCTTACGGCGGTGATCCGCCTCGAGTTGGCCGTTTTTGGCCAAACTTGCATTGGTTTCTGTGAGTAAACACCCCTAGGACCCTCGGTGACCCGAAAAAAAATACCGAAAATCAAAACTTATCGGCGGCAGGGCTCTCTGGCGCGGGGGCTCCAATAGCTCGAGTCGCGATTTTGTGTTTTACTCCGGTCAACCTGTAGAGGAAGGAACGGTGCTCACAATGGTGTAAAAATTATATCGAACAGGTTGGGAATGGCCTCATTAGAGGTAAAAATCGAGAAAACCCGCGGCGGCGTTTTCCGGCCAATTATCCGATGTTTTGGCTCCGATTTGGCCACTTGTGGGTTTAGAATCGAATTCTGAGCCAAGGAGAGAATTTTTACCTCGGTTGGCGGCTGGAAAGTGCTCCGGTGCGGCAGCGGGTGGCAGCGGTCGGCTCCCCGGCGGCTGGGCTGTCTTCTCTGGCGAGGGCTCTGACGGCTAGGGTTAGGATTTGAGTGTGGATGAGATTATTTATAACCTTCCACTTTTAATCTGAGCTGTCCATCGCGATTTAATCTGAACCGTCCGATCGCGATTAAAAAAGAAATGAATCTGGGCCGTTCATCGTGATGTAATAGGAAATAGGGTGAGGGGTCCTTACTTGTTTTCGGGATCCGAATACGATTCACAGTGCGCCTGCAGGCTGTCCCTAATTTTCCCTGAATTTTTCCCGGGGAACTGAAACACGCTAACAGTACCTGCATATGTTCCAAAAAAAATCCAAATTAGGCCCAGGGCCTCTTTCGGCCCAAATGC